GGTGCACACCACTCATCTTCTCAATGCAATTCTATCTTAATTTTGGTCCAATCAATGTTTCATGGTCACATTATTTTGACTAGGTACATGCAGTTACATCTGAGCCATGCAGTATAAAAGAGTGCCAAGATTATTTTTTAATTTCTACCCCAATTTGATGTTTTCCCAGAAACAAGGATCATTTTGTTTGTTTCCTTAGGTTTTCACATCATTGTTAATTATTAATTTAGCCTCAAATTATCTCCCAGTTGGCTATATATGTTCTCAAGAAGTTCAAAAAAACAAAACATTGTTTTTCATAAATTCCTCTTTTTGGAGACATCACTCCTGGAGCCTTCTGACCTGCTGCATTCTGGAATGCTTTAATTGTGCCTATAGGACAGCTGCTATCCTACGACCTCCCTCCATCATTATCCTGGGGATCCTTCTGCCTTGCTCTTGAGTTAGATTTCTTGCTTCCTATATTTCAACTTTTTCTTGTTCCACTCCCTCATTTTGGTGGCATATCTTCTCCTCTAGTAGCTTTATTATTATTATTATTATTATTATTATTATTATTATTATTATTATTTTTGGTAAACATAACCTAAAATTTACCATTCTAACTATTTTGAAGAGTACAATTCAATGACACTATGCATATTCACATTATTGTGGAAGCATCTCCACCATCCAACTCCAGGACTCTTCCGATCTTACCAAGTGAAATTTTGTACCCATTAAAAACTCTTTGTTCTCACCTCACCACACACCCTGGTAACCAATCTTCTACCTTCTGTCCCCATGCATTTGACTGTTCCAGGTACCTCATATAACTGGAATCATATATTTTTGTCCTTAAGAAAGGGTATATGAAAGGTATATATTTTGAGAACATGCATATCTAAAAATATATTTATTTCTCACTTATTGATAATTTGGCTGGATATATAATTCTGTGTTGGATGTACTTTTCATGTTTAATTTTGAAAGTGCTGTTTGCATATGATATGCCAATTAGATCTCAGACACCTGGAGCCAGACTGTCTGGTTTCCATCCCAGCTTTTAACTATTTATTACCTATGTCATTTGGGCAACTTTGTACTCTGCTACTGTGTATCTCAGATTTCTCACCTATAAAATGAGGATAAGAATAACACCAATTTCATAAGGTTGTTGTAAGGATGATTGTAAAACACTTACTATAGTACAATAGAGTTAAAGTCTCATCTAAAATATTAGCTACTATTGCCTTTCAACTTCTAGTGCTGTTTTGATTCTTTTTCTTTTTCTTTTTTTTTTTTTTAGCTGTTTTGATTCTTGATCCATTCTAGGTCACTCATTTTTTTTTTCCTTTGGAAGTGGTTAAAATCTATTTGAACTAATATTCTGAATTTGTATAGATTTATTTTATTTTATTTTATTTATTTATTTATTCATTTATTCATTCATTCATTCATTCATCCATGAGAGACACACATAGAGAGAGACAGAAACACAGGCAGAAGGAGAAGCAGGCTCCATGCAGGGAGCCTGATGCAGGACCGATACTGAGACTCCAGGATCACACCCTGGGCCAAAGGCAGTGCCAAACCGCTGAGCCTACAGGGTTGCCCTGTATAGGTTTATTTTAAACCATTTTTCTGAAAGCCTAAGAGGCTTTCTTCTTCTTCTTTTTTTTTTTAATAAGGAAAGTTTCTTTTGCTAAAATTTATTCATGAGAGACACAGAGATAGAGGCAGAGACATAGGCAGAGGGAGAAGCAGGCTCCCTGTGGGGAGCCTGATGTGGGACTCAATCCCAGGACCCCAGGATCACGACCTGAGCCAAAGGCAGGAACTCAACCACTGAGCCACCCAGGTGTCCCACTCAAGAGGTTTTCAATCAGGAACTAATGGCCTTCAATGTGGGAAAATCCAATTGATTAATCAATTAATTATTTAATGATAGCCTCCCTTCTATTTTTTTTTTTTTTGGTCCTCTCTTCCTGGAATACCTATCATTTCATTGATCTTTATTTTCACCTATATCTTTTATGCCTTATATTTTCATATATATAAGGCTGAAGAGCTCTGCCTGTGTTATTTCCTTTTTAAAAACCAACCAAACCAGACTATTCTTGTTTCATGGATTCATATCTTCTTTTATCTCTCTGAGAATCCTAATTTTTAAAAAATGTTTTTTTCTTCTTTTTCATAGTCTTTGTTTCTTTCTGCTTGCTCCTACCGCATCTTTAACATTAGAATCTTACTTCTAACACCTGGTGATTCTTGGTATCTGCCAAGTGGGCAGAAAAATGCTGATTAGAAGCTCTGTATGTGTGGATGGGGTTTGCCAACTATGGGCTTCACCACAAGGCAGTTTTATTGGATCTGATCAGGAGCCCTTCATGTCACAGAAAAGAATCTTGCAATTTCCTCGCTGGAGAATGTATATCAGGCTTCCAGCCTGCTGGGGAAGAGGGCTTGGGCAGTATTTATTTATTTATTTTTAAATTTATTTTTAATTGGAGTTCAATTTGCCAACATATAGCATAACACCCAGTGCTCATCCCGCCAAGTTCCCCCCTCAGTGCCCGTCACCCAGTCATGCCAACCCCCCACCCACCTCCCCTACCACTACCCCTTGTTCATTTCCCAGAGTTAGGTGTCTCTCATGTCTTGTCATTGGGCAGTATTTAAACTTTCATTGAATTTTCTTGTTTTTAATGCACTTACCCTCTCAAGAGAACAAACCTTCAGTGTTTTGCTGCCATGGGGGGCAGTCACCCAGCTGTAATGACTTGGAGAGGAGATCTAATGGATTCTTCAATAGCTTTCAGACTAAAACTCTGTTTTCTGCTGTGTCCCAGTTCTGCTGTTCAAATTGGGATTCTTTTCAGTGTTCACTATCACCTGCTTAGGAGTTTGATTCTGTGGGTCTTCTGTCCATTACCACTCGACTTTTTTTTTTTTTTAATAACCAGAAAGGAGCAATTGTTCATGTTTTTCTTTTCACTTTACCCACCATGAACATCTTCCCAGGTCAATAAATATTCTCTGAACTATGTTAATAGTTGTCTTGTATTCCTTCATATAAATATACTATAATTTACTTAACCAACTCTCTACTGCTGGACAATTTAGGGTTATTTTCAAATTCTTTATATTGTAAGCAAGAACGTGTTGGACATTTTTGTTGCAAAAATTGTTTATATCTTTAATTATTTCCTCAAATTCAGTTACTGCTCCTTCTGGCAGTACCACTTTTGATAGGTCATTAATTCCATTGGGATGCTTTTTGAAACAAATTTTCTGCAAACAAATGTGTTTGGGATTGGTGACATTTTGTGTGGGTCCGTAGTTTAAAACACTCCGCAGATGATTTTGTTGTACAGTTCAATTTGGAAACCACCATGATCACAGACTCAGCTTCCATTTTCCCCAGGAAAGCCCTGCTGATTGAGGCTGGAGTGAAGCAATAGAAGAAAACCCAGCAGGTGTCTTAGTCCATTTGGGCTTGCTATGACACAATACCATAGACTCAGTGGCTTATAACAACAGAGATTTCTAACAGTTATGGAGACTAGGATATCCGGGCACTGACAGATTGGGTGTCTGGGGAGAGCCCATTTCTGGGTTCAGACAGCCATCCACTAGCTGTGTCTTACATGGCAGGAGGGTAAAGAAGCTTTCCCAAGCCTCTTATGGAGTCACTAATCCCTATAGGTTCTGCTTTATGACCTAATGATCTCCCAAAGGCCCCACCTCCAAATACCATCACACTGAGGATGAGGTCTCAACATGAAGTTTGGGGGATGCAAACATTCAGTCAATTAGCAGCAGGGCAGGTATAGGTTTGGCCCGGAATGACAAATTGCTCAACATTAGTAGAAGGCACTCAGCAAAATCCACCTACTTTTTTTTTTTTTTAAATAATTGGTATGTGCTCAGAGCCCCATACAGTAGGAAGTAGTACTTTTAGCATAATTTTCTTTAAAAAAATTCATGAAATAAAGCACAGTTTGTTTGGAAGCCAAATTTTGTAGCCTACACTTAGAAAAAAAAAGAAGAAGAAGAATGTTTAACGCTGTTGAGAGTTTTGAGGGAGGGCTCCAGATGGAAAAACAAGTACCATTTCAGCAGTGTCAAATAAAGGGCCAAGTCTAGTAATTTTCAAACCATACCGAGCAGAAACCTCACAAGGCAAGCTTGTGAAAATGCAGATTTCTGGGCCTCATCATTCTTAATCTAGTTTATCAGCTAGAGTGTAGGCCCTAAATCCTGAATCTATACCAAGGATCCCTGGATATCTGATGTAGGGGGTCCTTGGACCACGATTTGAGAAACTGGCTTTAGACAATGTTTTGCCAGAAATTACTAGAGCTGCTTGAATCTGGAAACATCCTAGAATTCCCTCTGTTAGCCATCCCAGGGTCTTGGGGTCGGGCTGAGAACACTTTTCCCCATCAAACAGGGCTCCAAGCCCAGAAGAAAGCGCAGGGCTGGCCCAGTTTGGAGTGGTTTCCATGAAGTCGAGCGTGCAGGCAAACATTTGGGATGGAGAGGCCCTCTCCCCGGCTGGTCTGGGCCGCTGTCTGCTGAAAATTCACACAAGGCTGTCGGAATGGAAGCTATAGAGCCTCATAAAAGGGTTTTTTAAAACAGCAATTAGAGAAAAGGAAAACAAAAACAAGTGGGTTTGCTCTTTGGCACAAGGAAGCAGTGGCCGCTCAAAATTTGGAAACTTGGTTTTTTTTTTTTTTTTGTGGGGGGGTCCCTGTTCTCTGCTCCTTAATTCTATGCAACTTAATGCTCCTGTTTCTTCCAGGCCCACGGTCTCTACTTTGAAAGCTCCGGAGTCCGACTAAAGCACCGCCGCCCAAACCTCCTACCTCAGGGGCAGCCAACGCCCCCACCCCCCAGGCTGGGCCGGGAGCGGGGTTCAGGGCCGGGGCTCAGGTTGCAGGCGCGCTCGAGAGGGGGCGCGGTCTCCGCCGCTGGGTCCGCCCTGCGGGGCAGAGGTCGCGGGGGGCGAGGCTCCCGGCCCGCTGCTGCCCCGGGTCGCGAGACGCGCGCGCCCCCCGCCGCCGACGGTAAGCCCCCCGCGACCCGCGCAGGTCCTGGAAGCTCTGGAGCCCCGGCCGCTGGCGCGCGGACACACTCCGGGGGTCGGGGCGGGGCGCAGAGGCGCGGGGTCCCCGGCCTCGCCTTGGGGCTCCCCAGCCGCACTCTGTGCCCTTGCACCCGCCGCTCCCCTTGACGGGTACACCTGCGTGCCGGCGGGGACCCCGCCCAGCTCGAGATCCCTTCCAGAAAACGCCCCAGAGAGGGGAGCTTTGGGCCAAGCGAGGCCTGTTGGGTCCAGAACGCGCGCCTCCCGTTAGAAGAGCCCCGGGGAGCCCCCCATCCCCCGAGGATCCCCAAGAAGCTCCCTCCGCAGAGACCGAGAAGGGCGTGCGCAGACCCTGCAGGAGCCGACCCCCTCGCTGCACCAGGCGTTGCGGAGGGCTCTGCACTTTTCAGCTCTACTGTAGCTCCGAGAGGGTGTAGGTGGTGGTGACGCTGGAAATGGGATAGGAGCCGCAGTTAAAAACACATCTGTCTATTGACATCGGAGACCAGAAAATTGCCCGGTTGTGCACAATGTATTCTTTTCTTCCCAGTTTTAACAACAACAACAACAACAAAAAAGGAATATTGGAAAACAACCGCCACCCCTTCCTATACTCCCACGGCCTTAATCCATGTGCACACGTGTTGTTGTTGTTAACATAGTTGCAATTAGAGGTACATGGCATTCTGATTTCAAATTCTGGGGCAAGGGAGGTAAATTACAGCCGGACAGAACGGATGTCTTCATTAGTTCTAGGAGAAAGATCTTTCAGTGCCTGAGCTGAAAGTTAAAGATTGTATCATGCTTTCAACCTATATTACAAAAGTTTAAAGGATAAAGGACATGAAAGGCTCTTTAAAAAGATCCTTTTGAGACATATAAATGTACATATATATTCGCATACATTCCTTTTGCATCTTCGTTTCAAAGCCAAGGACAAATTTCTTTCCAACATAGCACTTTGATCTTTATGCTCTTAAGGAAATAATTTTACCATGTACTAGGATTTTGAGAGCACTGGTTTTCCATCAGATATTTTTCAAACCCCTAATCACCATTTAATCAGAGGCCTCAGGGTCTTGCACCTCTGTTCTTTCTGGAATGCTTTTCCCTTGCCTTTGCTTTGCTAGCTCCTCCTTATTTAGATCTTAGCTCATATTCATTTCTCAGCCCACCCCCATGCAATGATATTTTATTTTCTTCCAAGCACGCACCACCATCTGAAGTTATTAATTTGGTAATTGCTGCACCCCCAGCCCCCACCGCAACAACAATGTAGGAGACTTTGCTGTCTTACTTGCTGTTATATTCTAGAACCGTACCTCCCACTCCCAGTATCTGCCAGGACTGGGGTTTCATAAATAAATTTACTAAAAAAACCCCAATCTTTGCAATATAGGATAGCCTTGAAAGCACTTGCCGATTGTGACCGTGGAGAAAACATCTTTAGTCTCCTGTCCCCTACTCCCTTGCTTTTTTCCCTTGGTGGCTTGGGTGCAGCTGCTCCCAGATCTGCTGGCCCTACTTAGGGCCCCACCCACAGTGACCCAGGCCAGCCCCAGGAAGTAGGCCCTGGAGGCAGCTGGGGCCTCAGGCAGTTTTTTTGGGGCCGGATTTTGGACTAGAAAGTGGCGGGGATTCTCCCCCAGAGGCCTGGGACTGCTGGCCCTGCAAACCCCCTGACCCTTTAGCACTTCTCAGCGCTTGGCTGCGTGCACGAGGCTGCAAGGTTCGTGGTGGGAGCTGCTTGTGAAAAACGCTCTGTTATTGTTGGCCTCCAGGCACAGGGAATAATTAGGGGAGTGACATGCGCTAAAGTGGAGGTCTTTCCCTGTGGGCTGGGCCACGGGACTGCAACTGGCCTGCTTGCTGGCAGAGGCTGTGGATTCCTGCGGAGTCCTACGTGGTTCACTTCTCAGAGGAAGCCTGGATGAGGAAGAGGCTGGGAGTGGGGGCAGAAAGTTTGGAATTTCCCGTGGTTCCTTGGGGATTGATTGTTGTCGAGAACCACCCTGGCCAACAGCAAGGTGAGGTGGCCGGGCCTGCCCGCCTTTCCTCAAGGCCACACACAGCTCCCAGGGGCTCACTGGTGCCTGGCCCAGGGCCTGCCTCTCAGATGCGCAGAGCTGGAGTCCAGCCGTGGGGGGAACCGGTGTTCTGGGAGCTGTCAGGTGCCAGAGAGGAGAAGCTTTCCATTGAGCTGTGTAGTTTCCCTGGAGGTGCCTGGCACCTGGGTGGGTGTGACGTCAGGGTCCATTCAAGTGGGAAGTGTGAGGATGCCCTTAACACTGTGTTTCGGGCCTGGGTGTGTGTCGGAGAACGGAGACTCCGGAGGCCCACTGCCTGGGTTCAAATCCCGGCAGCTCCATTTGCAAACTGTGAGCATGCTCTTGCCTAGTACCCCGTGCACCTGTAGGGCGCAGGTGGTACCTCCGTGGGGTTTGTTGGGAGGGTGAGATGTGGGCATTGTGGAAAGCACTCAGGACAGGACCTGGCTTATAGTAATAGGGTAAGTGCTAAACAAAACTGAAAAAGAAAGTATGGAAAAGGTAACAGTTCCTCCTGGGGGAGGACAGGGAAGGGGCACACTGGGGATTTCAACAGTTACTGTCATTTTTCTTAAACTGGTTGGGAACATGGGTTTCGTTATACTGTTCTTCTTTATGCTTTACACATATAAATGTTTTAATAACAGTTCAGTATGTAATAAAACATTAAAACTGAACACTTAAGGACGCCTGGGTGGCCCGGTGGGTTAAGTGTCTTCCTTCAGCGTAGGTTGTGATCCCATGGTGCTGGGATCGAGCCCTGCATCGGGCTACCTGCTCAGGGGAGAGCTTGCTTCTCCCTCTCCCTCTGCCCTTGTGCTCTCTCACTCTGTCAAATAAAGCAATAAAATATTTTTAAAAAGTAAATATTGGGCAGCCTGGGTGGCTCAGCAGTTTAGCGCCGCCTTTAGCCCAGGGCGTAGTCCAGGAGACCTGAGATGGAGTCCTGCATCGGGCTCCCTGCATGGAGCCTGCTTCTCCCTCTGCCTGTGTCTCTGCCTCTCTCTCTGTCTCTGTGTCTCTCATTAATAAATAAATAAAATCTTTTAAAAAAAGAAGTAAATATAACCACACACTTCAGTCTCCTGTACTTCATTTTAACACACTGAAGACTATTGAGGTATTATTCATTTGCGAGGCCTATCTTGTTCCTGTACAAACTTATGAGGGAAAACTGTTACTATTTCCAGCTTACAGATGCATAAAGTGACTCTGAATAAGTTGCTTAAGGTCTGCTTTGTCAAACAGGAGAGGCAGAATTTAAATCAGCGCCTGGGTTCTTAATTGTGTATGGCTTTCTTAATGTGTCACAGATACAACAGGTTGTATCTGAACTTGAAAAAAAATGGAACTCATTGCACACTATGACTTAGCTTGTGAATTGGGATTTTCTGAATCGTGAAACCAATCAAAACACAGAAATAAGCTGAAAATGGAAATGGCTGAGTGCAAATCACCACTCCTAACCCTCTACTTCAGAGTTTGTTTTCATTGAAACAGCCTCCTTGGGATGCCTGTGTCTCTGCCTCTCTTTGTGTCTCTCATGAATAAATAAATAAAATCTTAAAAAAAAAAAAGAGAGAGAGAAAGAAACAGCCTCCTCTTCTAACTGGTCTATTAATAATAAAAAATGTAAATTTTAATTTTAAATAAAATGAGATGCCACTTATACGTGCTTTACTCTGTATATAGAACATATAAACAATCTTCCTATAAAATATATGTTGGGATTCCATTAGAAAAAAGGTCTGTGATGCAAGAAAGAAAAAAAAATATTGACTATCACTGGCTTAAGGATATAACTGAGGTTTAGGAATTTGATGGTGTGTGTTAAATGTTATTCAACAGACTTATTAAATGCTTTTATGTATAAAGCATTGGGTTAAACATTTGGGGAAACTAAGAGATGATAGCACAGTTTTATAATCAAACTTGTTTGTAGTCCTTCAATTATGTAATGCATTAGTATACAGTGGACTTTTGAACTATACAGGTTTAAACTGAGTGGGTTCACTTAAATGTGGATTTTTTGGGTAAACACAGTACTGTAAATGTATTTTCTTTTCCTTATGATTTCTTTTGAAGCTTTATTTATTTGAGTGAGAGAGAGAGTGTTGAGCATGTGCGCTCGCAAGCCCATGGTGGGGAGGGGCAGAGGGAGAGAGAACCCCAAGGAGACTCTGCGCTGAGCGTGGAGCCTGGCCTGGGGTTTGATCCCACAACCCTGAGGTCACAGCCTGGGCCGAAACCAAGAGGCGGAGGCTCAGCCGACTGCGCCACCCAGGCACGTCCCCCGCCCCATGATTTTCTTAACATTTTCTCTAGCTTGTTTTAATGTAGGAATGCAGTATATAATACATATAACATATGAAATATGTGTTCATAGACTATATGAACCGTAAGCCAACAGTGTTAGGCCAACGGTGTTAGGCTTAGGTGGATTTTCAACTCTGCAGGGATCCGTATCCCCACCCCCTGTGTGGTTTAAGGGTCAACTGTACTATGGACTGTTTTGAAACTTCTGACACTTAACCAAGCTGAGTGTACAATGGACTATGAAATTCCTACTGTCAGAGTCTTTGGTAGAATTCAAACAAAAGATTAATGATTTCACAAAGTCCCAGCATTTGAGCTGGACTTCAAAGATGGATAAAGACAAGGAGATGGGTGCCTGGGTGGCTCAGTCGGTTGAGCGTAAGACTCTTGGTTTCAGTTCAGGTCCTGATCTCACAGTATTTGTCCTTATGTGGCTAGCTTACTTCACTTAGAAGAAATTCTTTGAGGTTCATCCATGTTGTGGCAGGGGTCAGAATTTCCTTTTTTAAGGCTGAATAATATGCCATTGTATGGACAGATAACCCACACTTGTTTATCTATTTATGTGGGTATGGACCTTGGTGTTGTTTCTACCTCTCTGTGATCTTGATTAACT